GGCCTCAGCTAGCACATGCCGTTTGAAGTATAAAGGGTGCCCCTTCCTTGGGGGCGACCAGCCCTGGAACCAGGCTTACTTTAGCAAAGCCCAGCCAGGCTGGATTTCAGCCCCAACTTGCATCCCCTTGGTTCACTACTGGCGACTGAGGTGCCAACTGGGGACTATGGGAGAAACAGGGGATTTTACGCTCAGAGAGGTTACGTTGTTTGCCCCAAATCACGTAGGAATAGAGTCCTGCCTACCTCAAGCCTGTCGGACTCTAATGCCTGAGTAACTGATTCAGGCTGAGAATCAGAAGATGGAGGAGGAGGAGGAGAGTCTGGAAGAGCACAAAGTGCAGCAAAGAGAAGCACTCCAAAGGCAGGAGCCTCCAGGGGGTGTTCTGAGGAGGCCGACGGGGGCGCTCAGCGCGCTAGCAGTCCAGGCTGTGGTCGATGTGTGCTCTGCGGTCGTCAGGGCCAGAAGCAGCTCCCAGGGCACATCGAGGAGCCCCCTGTGCTTCAGCGTCACCATCAGGACAAGGAGACACCCACTGTGCCACTCTACTGGGACTTTCGGGGCAAGGTGGGGTGGTGCACATCAAACCCTGCCCCCTCAAGTCTCTCACTGTAACAGGTGAGGCAGCAACTGCCACTCGGCCACCTGCTTCCTGAACCAGCAGGGCGCAACCTGCCAGTGAAAGGAGAACTTAAACCACCCCAAGGAGCCATTTTAAAGCCCATCATCTTTTTTTTTTTTTTTAATTTTATTGAAGAATAGTTGATATATAATGTCGTGTACAGCACATTAATATGTGTACATATTCTTTTTCGGATACTTTTCCCTTATACGTTATTACAAAATACTGAGTACGGTCCTCTGTGCTATACAGTATAGGTCGTTGGGAAAGCCCAATCTCTTTATCACACTCCTGAGGGTGGTAAACTTCACACTGAGCGAAACTCAGACCGTTCCCAGTTACAAGTGTCCACACACAAAAATGAAGACATGGCCCTTGAGCAAAGTAACAGAATCCCAAAACGAAGGCCTGGAAACCAGTCTGGGTTTCTAGGAAGGGGCCAGCTACCTGTTTCCTAAAGAAAGCCCCTTCCCTGAGGGAACTGGATGCATCCCTTTCCTTCCCTCTGCCCTGTGAAATATGATCTCCCAAGAGCCCCAGCTACACCTGGTGCCTCCCGCAAGGTCCTTTCCCACACAGGAAGATGAGTGGAGGCCAAATTTCTCATGCCCATCAAATCCATATCCTGAAAAATTTGCATGCAGCTAACTGAAAACTCCAAGGTATCACCGACCATATCAATGAGCTTAATATTTCTTAGGGATGACATCTGGAAGGTGATAGCAACAGCAACTCAGTTCTGATATAGTCACCCTCGGACATCTCCCTCCAATATTCCCAACGCTGTTACTTCCCTTTTATAGTAGGTTTTGCGTATTCTTTTGATTTTAATTTAAAAAAAAAATCTCTCTCGGGCTTCCCTGGTGGCGCAGTGGTTGAGAGTCCGTCTGCCGATGCAGGGGACACGGGTTTGTGCGCCGGTTCGGGAAGATCCCATGTGCCGCGGAGCGGCTGGGCCCGTGAGCCATGGCCACTGAGCCTGCGCGTCCGGAGCCTGTGCTCCGCAACGGGAGAGGCCACAACAGTGAGAGGCCCGCATATCGCAAAAAACAAAAAACAAAACAAAACAACAAAAACCCTCTCTCTTCAGTGTCCCAATCAACGTTACAAGTTATGAGGAGATATACGAAATGCAAAACAAACACTTGATATTTTTTAAAACCCATGCCACCAGACACACTTCCCTCTTTCCAATGCTGTATGGTGAAACTTCAAAGCACACAATTTTTTTTTTAAGCACACAATTTCAAATTATTAAGGACAAAATGAAGCTGATTCCTTTGCTACCACTTTGAAAACATACAGAACTATTAAAATGGGGCAAAAATCTGTTCTGTATCTCAACCCGCTAGGATGTTGTAGAGATCATAATATATGACAATGGCTACAAACTGTTTAGTCTTGTGTGTCAGGCATTGTCCTAAGCACTTAACGTTTGTCATCTGTCATTTTGTTGTTGTTTAGTCCTTGCAGCAATCCTACAAGTTCAGTACTATTACTGTCCCCCTTTGCAAATAAGGAGACAGGTAGGAGCGGAGGAGAACAAGGTCCTTGTCTGCCTGTTCCCAGCTGAACCCCCAGCCCCAAGCTGTGCCCTGCTCGTGGCAGGCACTCAATGCACGCTTGTTCACTATACGAATGGGGAATGCGTGGCTGGGCTACTTCTTGCACAACTGCAGGGGGCGCCATTCACGTTGTGCTCTGTCTCTGGTGAATGTGAACGCCCTCTGTGCCATGGTAGCCCTGATAGCCCAGGCCAAAATCTGCTGTCATGTCTGAGGACTTACAAGGTGCGAGGCACTGTCACCCCCATTGCCTTGAGGCACCAAGAGGGAAAGTGGCCAAGCCAGGAGTCAGACTTGGATGTTCGACCCGAGAACTCCTGGTGAAATATCCCTGGACCTCAGTTTCTTCACCTGCAGAATGTTCTCATGGGATATTCACCTAACACAACTAATCCTTCCCACTCTCCCACATCTGATAGACAGCTAGGACCTGAAGTTGGTCTAGGATTACCTCCCAATGTTTTGAGGGTCCACAAGGAGTAGCAAAGGTATATAAATAAATACGTGTTTATGTTGGGGTGCTTTTCACTGACAGGAAGTTTGGAGACCACTGCACTGCACTGCACTACCCTACACAGAAGCTCTGATGAGGTCATCCCACCACCACCCCCAGCTCAAAAACCTGCAAGATCAACATCTCCTGAAGTGCTGGACACAAAATGATTTTAAGTGGCATGCAGAAGAACGTTTATTATTTTCATAATTGTGTATGCATTGATTTTAAAGAAAATTATAAAAATATATATAACTGGCACATCAAACCTGGGATTTCTGGGATACAGAATGACTCTAACTTATGTTTTCAGTTTTTTAAAGTTAATTTACAAATACATACATATATAAACAATATTAACTCCAATAAATTGAGGGCTCATTACATGCCAGGCTCTGCAGTGTGTTAAGTCACTTCCCATACTACCTTTTCAACCCTCACAACAATTCTTTGAGGTGGTACCACTGTCATACCTGTTTCACAAGTGGGGGGACCTACTGGTAAGTGTCTTGCTTGAGGTCAAACTAGGATTTAGAGCTGGCTGTGAATCCAGGAGGTCTAATTCCAGAACTAGCACTCCACACCACCACCTCATATTAACCACCGCCCCACACACACCCTCATTGTTGGGGTAATGAGGTTTGGAAAACAATGGCCTGGAAAGTTTAAAAACAAAAACAAAAACAAAAACAGACCAGCAACAGCAACTAACATTTATTGCCTACAATCCCCCTTCAGTCGTGTGCCAAGCAGTTCACACACATGTTCACTCAATCCTCCCGCATACCCTCCTCATTCATCCACAAAGGTTCACTGAGGACCTACTACGTGCTGGGCCCGGGGTACACTGCAGGAGATCAGGTAGACACAGCTGAGGGCTCTGATGGCCCTTGGAGAAAAAGAGATGTATAATTACAAAGTGGGGTAACTGCTACACAAGAAAGGTTCAGGGTGATGCGCAAGTGTAGCAAAGGGGAGCGATGACTGGTCCCGGGTGGTCAAGTACAGCCTGGACGTCCTCCCTGATCCTGAGTAAAGGCCCCCTCTTCCACGCAGTCTCCCTGATCTCCGGTTCCCATCACTCACTCCCCTGTGCATCCATCCACTGTGTTCCTCACACATGATAGGCCAAGGGCAGTTGTTCCCACATTTACCACCTGTCCCCCTACAGGCCTGGAGAGGCTCCTCAGGGCATCCAACCTCCAACCATCGAACACCCAGTAGGGACTCAACAAATATTGAACAATAAAGGAAGAGATTGTACTGAACAACAATAATAGTGCTTCCCTCTAGCCAAGAACCATTTTACAGGCCTTCACCAACTCCACTTGTGGCATTATTCCCATTTCACATACGAGGACACTAAGAGGTTCAGAGAGATTAAGCTATTTGCCTCACGTCACACAGCTAAGTGACCAGCAACGCCAGGAATCAAACTCGAATCCGGTCTGTCAATTAAAAGTGAAAACTTGTTTCAAATTCCTCGGAAGTGGCTCTCATGCTTATTCCCTACTTTCCCCAAGGATTCACTGGGCGGGGGGAAAAAATCAAGACTAGTGTCTTCAAGACCGGCACAAAACACCCTCTCCTGAAAGATCCACGTTTTAAATAAAAGCCTTAATCTGGAAAATCAATTGAGAGGAAGGGAAAAGGATGCAAAACTAAAACAATGCTTTCAACGGCAGTTTCCCCAGTCCTTCCCCACTTGCTGCCGACCCCCGCTTCAGGGCAAACATTCTTAAGTCACTACTTGCGAGGGTTTAGGAGAGTTATTTACCTTTCCTTGAAAATCTAAAATGACGTGATTTTTTATAATAAAATTTTAGGTCGGCTAACCCAAGGGGGCTGCTAATGTTCGTGTCCAGGCGACGCTGGACACACCTGGGCTTTTTCCTACTAAGCTCCGACCGCAGCCTCGCCAAAAAGCAACATTCGAGTCGAACCCGTTACACGTAGCCAGAAAAGCCAGGACGGCTGGCTATTGTTGGAGCCCCGGTGGGGGCCGGGCCCCTGGCCCGCCGACGGGGCTGCGAGCTTTGTCCTGCGACCCCGGCGAGAACGCGCGCGGAGGGCGCGCGGCCTCCACTTGGCCCGGGCCCCCACCCAACCGGCCCGCGGATACAGTAGCCGCCGCGGCCTCGCTGCACTGTGGCCTTCACCGCGCGCGCGGTGCCGGCCAGGCTTCTTGACCCTCGGGCGCCGCCGTACACCGGCCCCAATCCGGGAGCCAGCGGCCCCCTCCACCCTCAGCGCCCTGGCTCCATTCAAACCGTCCTCCCAAGTCCCGCGCCGCGCTCACTCCGAGACCCGCGTTCCTTACCGGGAGTCGACGGCGCCGTCGCCTTCCCGGCGCCGCCCCCACCCCTCCGCGCGGGGCCGGGGGCAGAATGAGCGTCTCGTCTCTCCTCACGAAACAAAGAAGGCGCCGCCGCTGCCGCCGAGCGAGGGTAAGCCTAGCGCGCGCGCCCGCCTCAGCCGCCCCCCCAACGCCGCCCGCGCCCCCGCTGCGCGCGCACTCGTCACCTCCCCTCCCCCCACCACAGACAGCCTCTCCCGCTTCCGTCGCCGGCCCGGCCTCTTGCGCGTGCCCGCCCACCCTTCCGCTCCTAGCGCGCGTGCGCGCCCGCCCAGGGTGGGTTGGGGAAGGTGGGTGGGGCCAGAGAGACCTAGCGCGCCCGACGCACCTCCCCACGCTGTGCGGGACGGTCCTGCGCCTGCGCGCGGGGTGTCTTCGTCCTCGGCACGCCGCGCGTCTCCACGCCGCCGGGCATGCGCAGAGCGGGTGGCACTGCGGCGGTTGTGGAGGCGGAGGTGGCTGGGGGAGGTTGGGGGATGGGGTGGCAGCGAGGTCTGAGGAGAAGGGGTGGCCGAGGGACCCTGAAACTCGTAAGTGAGGCCCCAAGGTCGTGCGTGAAGGCAGGTGGCGGACAGGCTGGACTGGGGACGAGCAGAGCCGACCCCTGGGCCAAGGGCGGACTTAGGAACCGCTTTCATCCCTGGTCGGAGGATGGCGGTGCCCGTCCGGCTTTGCCGAACGGGCACCGACCGTGGCTGCCTTTTCTGCAAAACCTACCTAGGGCTGTTAATTGGATTAGCAGATATCTATTGACCTGCCCCAGGCTCAGGTGCTGCAGAACCGAACAAAAATATCACCCGCTGTGGCGCTCACGGTCTAGTGGGAGAGGCAGGCGCGGGGCAAGAGAATTAAGTAACAAACACTTTGTTGATATGGAGACAGGAAGGGTCGTGGGAGTTTTAAATGGGGCAGCTAAGGAAGGCCTCGCTGCGAAGACATTTGAGTCAAGATATATAAAAGCAGTGACGGAGAGAGCCTTGTTCCGAGTGGGAAGACCCAGAGCCTGGAGGCGGCTTGGTCTCTTTATGTTTTCAAAGTATCTCCGAGTCTGTGTATGTCGCGTTTAGCTCCGCAACTGGACAGACGCTCCCCAAGGTCAAGTCCCAAAGCCCATGACTGTCCCTACCCCTGCTTCTCTCAGGCCGGCTCTTCCTCATTTTTCAGGTCTCAGCTGACTCATCACCTCCACCGGCCTTGCCTCCTTTTTGATCACTGCCTCTTTTTTTTTTTTTTTTGCGGTACGCGGGCCTCTCACTGTTGTGGCCTCTCCCGTTGCGGACGCACACGCTCAGCGGCCATGGCTCACGGGCCCAGCCGCTCCGCGACACGTGGGATCCTCCCGGACCAGGGCACGAACCCGCGTCCCCTGCATCGGCAGGCGGACTCTCAACCACTGCGCCACCAGGGAAGCCCGATCACTGCCTCTTTTTCCTTTCTTTCACAATTCTTGTGTACCCCTTTTATTGTCTGTCTCACTCAAATGACACGATGTTGTAAATTTTAGTCCCTAGTGAATAGCATCTAGTGTGTTGCCCACCTCTGCCACATATCTGCTAGATACTTAAAAAAAAAATTTGTGATTGAAAGAATAACAGATTCTATTGAGTGTGTATCATAAGCTCTTTGGGCCTTTCCAAGCCCAAGGTGAGTCCCTTGCAGCATAGAGCAGCAGGCGAGGTCTTGGGCTGAAGCCAAAAAGACCTGAATTGAAAACCCGACTCCATTGTTAGTAGCTGGGGGATGCCAGGCAAGTTTACTGGACTCATCCACACTTCCTTTTCTTCACCTGTAAAATGCAAACAATAACAGCACTCACCTCCACAGGTTGGTTATGAGGAATCCTTGAAAGCAGGCCACCTGGAAGTTCTCAGAACCTTAGCTTGTCATGTTGGGTAGTGCACAGGAAATGGGCAAATGGAGTCTGGACTTTGGTCTCTCTCATACACTCAAGTAATATTTCTTAAGCGCCCTCAACGTGCTAGACACTGAGCTGGTCATAGGCCTGCAGGCAGGGTTCCGGCCCTTGGAGCAGACAGTCCTTGAGTTCAGCTGACTGTCTCCCACATTGATCACACTAATACATGATAGGAGAGTCTAAGTGCAATGGAAGAAAAGCCCAGGGTGTGATGAGATCATAACATGGGGCCTTCCTGGGATTGAGCCATCAGCTTGACCTCTCTGTATGCCAAGACCCTGAAGAGGGAAAAGAGCATGGGAACAGCTCCTGTGGCTGTGAGGGGGACGTCGGCAGTAGCTGGGCAAAGCAGGGCAGTAGCAAGGATCTCAAGTTTTTTCTGGAGCACAGTGTGAGGCAGTTGGAGGGCTTTAGTCAGGAGAATCCCATGCTGCTCTGGCTGCAGGGTGGAGACTGGGCTGGCGGGACAAGGAGCAAGGAGAGGAAGTGGGGAGCCCCCTTCAGGCCATTGCAGTGGCCCAGGGTAAAGAGGGTGTCTTCACATCTAGAGGTAGATGAAATTGGAGTTAGAATGGATAAACATGGAAGTGGGGCTGAGGTGAAGAAGGAGGGCCCTGTGTGAACTCCAGCTTTCTCTGCAGCTGGGACACTGGGGACATGGACACTGGCAAGGAAGGATCAGAAGTCTTGTTTGGGGGGAATTCCCTGGCTGTCCAGTGGTTAGGACTCAGCACTTTTCATTGCAGTGGACTAGGTTAGTGGTTAGGACTCAGTGGTTAGTGGTTAGGACTCAGCACTTTTCATTGCAGTGGACTAGGTTCAATCCCTAGTCGGGGAACTAAGTTCCCCTGGTCGGGGAACTAAGATCCCACAAGAGCCATGCAGCAAGGCCAAAAAAGGAGTCCTGTTTTAAGGACAAGATATCTTTTAGGAATAATCCTATAGACCAGTGGCTTATGGCTGTACAGTGAGATCCCAATTTACGCAAAACTGATGCCTTTAGCACTATACTTCTGACTGTGATACATTTTGAGTTAATTTTTGTATGTAGTATGAGGTAAGATTGAAGTTCATTGTTTTCCATAGGTATATGCAGTTGTTCCATGCTGTTTGCTTCCCCCTTTGAATTGCTTTGGTGCTTTTGTCAAAAATCAGTTGACTATTTGAGACAGAAAGTGTGAATCTATTTCCGAACTCTCTGTTCATTAATCAATATGCCTCCCCTTAAGCTAAGACCACCCTGTTTTGATTACTGTAGCTTTATAGTAAGTCTTGAAATCAAGTAGTACTCCAACTTTGTTCTTTTTTAAAATTGTTTTCGTTACTGTAGATCCTTTGCATTTCCATGTAAATTTTAGAATCAACTTGTAAATTTCTACCAAAAACAGTGACTTATCACGGTCATGGTTTGATTGGTATTGCACAGAATCTGTAGACCAGTTTGTGGAGAATCACCATCTTCCAATCCATGAACATGGAGTATCTCTCTGTTTATTTAGGTCTTCTCTAATGTCCATTAAACTTGCTCTTTTCAGGCCTTTCCTAGTCCAGTGATATGACTTCTGTCCAGGTCACAGGGACTTACCTGTTGCTGAAGGCAGGAGTCAGTTCTCAGCTTCATCTTCCTAGGGCTGGTGGCCACAGTTGACACTTTCCCTCCTTAGAACAATCTCCTCACTTGGTTTCCAGGGCACCACACACTGCTAGGTTTCTTCCCACCCCATCATCAGCTCCTTTGTGTCTTCCTCCTCCTCACACTGATCTTTTTAAGAATGACCTGCCATAGGACTCAGACCTTCATCCCCTATCTACATTCACCCCCTTGGCTTCCAGTCTTGTGACTTTACAAATTTTTCCAGGGGATTCCCTGGCAGTCCAATGGTTAGGACTCCATGCTTTCACTGCCCTGGCCCGGGTTCAATCTCTGGTCAGAGAGCTAAGATCCCGCAAGCCGCATGGTGAGGAAAAAAAAAATCATCTACATCCTAGGTATCTACCCAAAAGCATTGAAAGCAGGCACTTGAACAAATATTTGTAAATAAATGTTCATTACTACTGCACTATTCATAATACCCAAAAGGTTGGAACAGTCCAAATATCCATGAACAGAGGAATGGATAAACAAACTGTGCTGTATACATTCAATGAATATTTAGCCATGAAATGAAGCGAAGTCCTATTATGTGCTACAGTCTGGATGAACCTTGAAAACATGCTAAGCAAATGAAGTCAGACACAAAAAGCGGCATATTGTATGAGTGTATATTTCAAATGTCTGAAATAGGCAAATCCATAGAGACAGAAAGCAGATTGCTAGGGGCTGGGGGTAAGAGGAGAGTAACTGCTTAATGGGTACAGGGTTTTATTTGGCGGATGATGAAAATATTTTGGAACTAAATAGAGATGATGCTTACACACTGCTGTGAATGTACTAAATATGACTAAATCATTCATCTTTAAGTGTTTAATTTTATATGAATCTCACATTAATTATTTCTAAATTTTATTATTTATTTATTTATTTTGGCTGTGCCAGGTCTTAGTTGTGGCATGCGGGATCCTTTTTTAGTTGCAGCCTGCAGACTTATTTGCGGTGGCATGTGGGATCTTTTTTTTTTTTTTTTTTTTTGCGGTACGCAGGCCTCTCACTGTTGCGGCCTCTCCCGTTGCGGAGCACAGGCCCCGGACGCGCAGACTCAGCGGCCATGGCTCACGGGCCCAGCTGCTCCGCGGCATGTGGGATCTTCCCGGACCGGGGCACGAACCCACGTCCCCTGCATCTGCAGGCGGACTATCAACCACTGCGCCACCAAGGAAGCCCTGGGATCTTTTTTTAGTTGCGGCATGCGGGCTTCTTAGTTGTGGCATGTGGGCTTCTTAGTTGCGGCATGCATGCGGGATCTAGTTCCCCCACTGGGGATCGAATCTGGGCCCCCTGCATTGGGAGCATGGAGTCTTACCCACTGGACCACCAGGGAAGTCCCTCACTTTAATTTTTAAAAAATCTACATGCTAATGATTTCCAAATGTTTATCTCCTGTCTGGACCTGGAGCTCCAGAAAAGTGCCTCTCAGATACCACCATTTGGATATTTAATAGGAGTTAAAATGTTCAGTTCCATCATGTCCCTCTTTTGCTCAAAACCCTCCAATGGCTCCCATCTC